GCTGCTGCTGCTGCGGCTGCTGCTCATGCTGATGATGATGCCTCTGATATTACTGTTCCCTGGGCCGGAAGCACCATATGCCGGCCTCACCGAAAACCGCCGAAGTTGAAGCAAAGAACGCCGACCTGAGTTGAAGATTTCAAAGTGCAGGAAGTTGTCTCAACTGTTGCGGGATCTGCGCTGTGTCCAATGCTTGGGGGGCTTGGGTATCTTGGATGGTGTATCTGCCTTGGCAGGTGGGGCGTGGTCCAGTAGGGGGGCCCTAAACAGGCATGAGTCCTGTTGCTGTCTTGCCGCATGATCATATCGAGCTCGCTGGCAAAGGCCGCCACATGGGCACGCTTTGGAGCATCCCGGCCTCAACTTCCAAGGCTTTCAGGCTTTGAGGCTGACAGGCGTCGCACTTCAAGGGTTATAACTCACGCTCACAAGGCGTAGTGTGGGTTCAGAGATTGTAGGGCTTCAAAGTTCACTCGTCCAGGGATTTAAGGTTACCTTGGAGGCTGACGTGATTCGAATGTACCCTTCTTGTGATATAGATGATAACGACGTGTTCCAGAGGCTGCGAAGTGACAGCTGAAGTGACAGGTACAAGCTCAGCAATCAGTCTGTGATTTGCCGGAATTGGGGATCCCTCTGCCTGAGGACTATGATGGGAGAGGGTTTGGGCGGGGACAGGGAAATCAAAGCCACCCTGTTGCTGAGCAAGACACTATACTGCCATGGGACAGACCACCATGCCAGTCAGGAGTGATTCGGCAACTTGACCCCTGCAATAGGACCTTGATTCCGGGAAGGTTCTTGCTGGCAGTATACCGGAAGAAGGATACCCTTATTTCTCACTATCAGTGTAGCTCCGGAAAGCCAGACGAGAAAGACCCCTCTGCATCAATTTCGATCAATACAGACAGCACAATGAATAGCAATATGAGAATACCCACGTGTTCGTGATGACGTGGACGCAACAATGACAGCAAACCGCCGAACAAAAACAGTCCTAACGTCGTGTACCATCAACAGGGCCCGGGCAAAGCTCAGTATTCTCCGAACCTGACCAATTCAGTACACGCGCGAAAGTCTCTGGGGCTGGGGTGCAGTAGTCGGGTGGAATACATACAGAATGGATTTCTAAAGGGAGTGAGAGTGAGATGCATATGACGTACAATTGTCTATGCTACTTTGGTTAACTTCAGCACTACCAGCATAATCCATACTGAAACCCGCCTGGAAAGCAGGATCTGAGCTTGTGGGTTGGGGTTGGCTCCTTCGCTTTTTGCGGTATAGGCGGTATGGAGTTCTGGGCTCAGCAAATCATGGGGCCATGTTCGGATCAGGCATCAAAACTGGATTCAGTCTAAGGGCATTTCTATGGAAGTTCGGCCTGCGCGGGACTCAAACGCTTGCTGCCGTGGTGCAAGATGCACACAAGGATGGTAAAACAGCTCAAGGACATCCCACGTAAATCCTGTCAAATCATAGAACAATGTAAAACCCCTACAGGCAAGCATGAACACTTCCAAACTCCGATCTCCAAGTACCAACAATGTCATGGGGCAGGAACCGATATGGTCTCGAAAGGAGCATCTCATATACACTCACACCAGGCTTCACGAAGACAGAGTACCAGTACAGACTTAATGATCTTGGCCTGCTACATGCTAAACCCGCACTCATCCTGAGAGCCCCCAGGCCCCACATCTCCGCAATCCTCTGCAGTGCTGGAACCCTCAAATCCCCGTAAACTAAGGCTGGGCCCAACCTTGGGAGCGCCCCAGGAGGAGAAGCCCCAGCAGAACCCAGCGCATGGCGACGGGGCGTGGGGATGAAGCATGTGAAATTTGACGCTTCGGGCTTCGTGTGGAGATTTGGGGTTGTATAGGATTCTGCGTCCATAAGCCGATGTTTAGGTAACCGGGAGGCATGGGCCAGTCTCCCGCGATGCTCAGATTGGAGTCGGGATAGTACCGTAGCAGAATACCTCTTCATGGAGTTGCATGCATCGCATGTCACTCGGATCACCAGCTGTATTCACTTTAGAGCGTGAATTAAATCTAAAATAGCATCGTTCCTCATGGTCGTCTTCGGCCCCAAACCCTGCTACGGAGAGCTATACTCAAGCAGAGTCTACTTGGACTTCATCGTTACGCGTGGCAATCAAAACGCCAGGCGATTCTTCCGAGCTACGAGATTTCAGGTTTCAGTTCTCAGCGGCTTCGTACAATGCAAGGTCCATCTTGTTTGCGTTAATGTCCACACTTCGCTTGACAAAGCTTGAGCAGAACAAACGATTTCGTGCTGCAGGTGGAATCTTGCTATCCCAGCTTTCACAAGGTCCGGGATCGGGGTGAAGACTGATTGCGGAATGGTTTGCAACAAGACTTTTGCTCGAGTTCCAGATGCTGAGCCTCTTGACAAAGTTCATTGGCCGATCTACTTGTAGCTGGATTTCGCCTGCGTTGAGGTTCCACCATGTCGACAACAACATGCCGGGTAGCCACATGTTCTGCTTTCATAGCTACTCCTTGCCTAGGAGCTGGAGATCAAAGGGCCCCAAACCACTTTCTGGAGCAGTACTTGCACAGGACTGGGCCACGCTTTTTCGCTGGTGTCAAGCAATGCTAGACGGGTTCCAGCAGAACTTCTGTCCTTCTCTGCTTGCCAGATCCTTGGTTCCAAAGCGTGTTTACGTACGGGCGCCAGCCCCTTGTTGACATGATGGGCTGCTACTGCAGCTTTGGCCAAATTGCCATGGTCTTCTCTCAGTAGGAATACTATCGCGGCCAGCTGGATCCAGTATGCCGAGAATCTGCAATGCGGCGCATTTGGTCATCGGATAAAGTGAAGTCGAAGATCTCGGAATTCTCTCGTATCCTTGGCTCATATTCATAAGCCAAGGCAGCAAAAAGCTGTGCTCTGTGATCAGGCATCTGACTGTCGTGTCTGAGAAGCTTTTGGAGAAGGGATGGATGGCAAAGGCCTGTACTCAGCAAGGAACATGAATGCCAGTACGAATCCCTGCAAGACATGCTGGTGCAATCTTTCGTTTTTCCGTAGTGAGCCTCACACACCTAAGACATGCTCTGTAAGTGCTGAGTACTTGAAATTCGCAGTGATACCATTATCTCTCTACATGCTCCAACCATCACTTCGCACCATGATGGGCATCGCCTTGTTAACTGCAACCCAGGATCCTTGCTGCGTTGCTGCTGCGCGGGATTACCAAGAAGTCCTGCGAGGACTGGACTGTGTAGCGGTCAGATTACACCTCACGAAGCCAATATCCGTCAACACACTTGCAAAGTTTCATATTATAGTGTCCAGAACTGTTTATCGTGCAGACACACATACTCCAAAGAGGTGTTGGGTGTGATGTGAAAGAGAACCGTGAAATCACATGAAAGAGCCTGGAGGCAGTTCCTGAGACAGGATATGAATGTCTCACACCACCCATGGTTCTTGCTTTTGTGCCAGCCTTCATGAATCCTTGGCCGAAAATCATGGATTTTGGGCTTTGACGTCAGCTTCAAAGCCTTCCTTCAAATGTGTGCCGAGGTGGGCGATTGCGAAGTTGCAAAATACCCAAACCTCAAACTCCTACAGCTGACATAAAGTCACTAGAGAAAGCCGCGAATCTTCGCAGCCCTGGGTGCCCTAGGTGAAAAGCCACATGCACACATGAACAACACTGTTTTCTCGGCCCAAAAACCACGGTATTCCCTTTGGCCTACATTAAGGTCACAATGTCTGGGAGCCAAACACCTCATATGACCCTGAAGCCACACAAATAGAGAATGTGAAAGCCTGTCACATGCAATGAACATTAAGCCGTGTCTTTTCTTCCAGGCCCCTGAGGCCCTAACCCAGAAAAGCCCCCAAAACAAGCGCTGCTTCGTGATGCCTGCTGCAGGCCCCAGCGAAGAACTACCTGGGCCGCCGTGCGTCCGACGTCCTGCGGCATAGCAGAAATCAACAAATGCTCTAGGTAGAACGCCACATTGGGGGACCACACCCCTGGCTGTAGCCACATTTTCTCGTGCTTTGCATTTTTGGCGTTACGTCCGTTCTTATGTTTTTTGAGGATTTCTGGCTTGTGTGCTGTTCTGCTGTTTCTCCGTGTCTCCGCTAAACCACACTGCGCGCAATCTTGTCTAAAGAGAACTGCGTCTCATGGTTTTGGGAATTTGCGCCGCGTCGTGCAGCGGTGCTCTTCGCGCAGCTTTGTGACAAGTTCACTTGTCACCTACAAGCGTCATGAAGGCCCCAATCATGCACAACTTGGTGTTGCATCCTGCACCCACATCAAGCTTGCATGACCGAATTGAACACTGCACTACATTTTTTAGCATCAATAAACACCGTTCAGAAACTCGAAACTTGTATTCCCTGAGGCTTACTCACTTTTCTGCTTCCAGCCCCACGCCCCTGAAATTGAAACCCCTTACACAGGGTGTAGAACCCGACCCCCAAATCTGAGCTCCTAAGCCGAAGCCCTAAAGTTGAATGCTACTTCCAGGATCACAAGCTGAAATCTGCACACATCCAAATGAAGCTGACAGAAGCCCTTGACCATGCTTCCTTGGCGATCTTCTGCACCGAGGGATCCGTCAGGAGCAACCTTGTCAAGAGCCCATTGTAAGGTGCTTAGCAATTAGCAGTGGACATTAAAACCAAAATAAGGTTGAGGGGTGAAGGATTTCAAATAAAGAAGACAACTAATAAGTATTATCGGCAAATTGAACTACCATGTTGTACCAAGCCAAAAAAAAATACAGTTTAGGAGGTAGTACTGCAGGACTGTGAATGGGGGAATTTACAGAACCGATGGTCTTCGGTTTGAGTGGCATCATCTTATTTTGGGCCGAGAATCTTTAAAAAATGCCTTGGACGCCCGTTGCTTTGGAATTAAACTGGGGGCTAGAACTCATCTCCGGAGCTTGAAACGAAAAACTTCAAGCAACAGACCCATTCTGAATATCAAAGCCAAAGCACCCAAGCGCCCAAAGCCAGAAACCCCCAAAATCCACTTAGCGTTACACCCCTCACTGCTTTGAGGCCCGGGCTTCGTGCCGTCCACTTCGCCTCCACTGGCTTTGCCCACGTTGCTTGCAGGACCCCCGCCCAGAGGCGCATATGCCTGGAGATCTGCTAATTCCTAGGTAGCTGAGAGGCTAACTTTGCAGCCGCGTAATATGCTTTAGTTCCTTTTTATGTATCTTACAACGAGCATAGCTAACACTGGCGTTTCTCAGTCGACTTATCAGAAAGATTCCCCTATCGCCGAATTGGGAATGTTTGTTATGATCAAGGTCGGGGATATGTATTGTTACAGCGGAATGTATTGTTACCGTTGACTTTCGTAGCATACCTACCAGAAAGATTCCCTTCTGGCCGAATTGGCGACAAAGTTGCTTATTATGAGGGTCATTTCTTTTGGTAGTGTTCCAGTGGACTTGCGCATGCTGCGCCTCAATCAGAATTTTGTGCGTCCGGCAGAAGTCGATAGTCCTTAGCATCGCCGATGCAGTGTGGAATTTGGGATGTGCAATCTGGGGTTTTAGCCCCAGCGGAAAACCAGACACGACAAGACCGAACCCAATCTGAGTGTAGTGCACGCGTCTGCGCAAGCAACAGTAGAAGTCAATGTCACTGGATTAGTCTGCATTTCCGAGAACCCCTAGTCCCTGATGTCTGGCTTCAGCTTGCCCCCAGAATCCGATGTTTTACCAAGAGTTGCAAACAAACTTTGTGCAAAGTCCTGGCACAAACCATGTTGAAGTACGTCCATCATTCAGTTAAATTCTGCCCAAACAGGTTTCTAACATGGCTGGTCACAATCGTGGCCGCGTGAGGATGACTTCCCAGAAGCATGAAGTTGAAAGTCGGGTCTGCCAATGCTGCCCAGAGTCTCACGAGGGACATACAGAGGATGCACTTCCTTGAAGGGAGAAGCTTTGGAAGTGAACGCATACTCATGTAGGCGGCTGAATTGTGAACCCCCTCCCCTCACCGGCAGCATGGTGAAGATCCCAACATGTGGATTGTCTTTGTAAAGCAATTTGCTACTCAGGGGTCAGCGCTGGACAAGATCCAAGGTGTTCAGAGATTGAATTGGGTTTCTGAGGATCAGGAATTGCGATCAACCATGGAGTGGGTTCTTCGCCAGTAAGACTGGCTGCAGATATATACCACGCACACCGTGTCAATGACCGCAGTTCAATATCTTAAAACCAGTCACAATGATTTTTAGTGTCACTTTGCTAAACTTGCGTTCTGCGAATAGGTGTGAGCGCTCGAGCCAAATATCGGCCCAATATCCTGAGCCGAGGTATCACATCCTGAGCCACAGGCAATCTGATTGACCATTGGCATCACGCTCGCCCCATCCTCCGGCATCCAAGAACCAAGAAGTTAAGATGTTACCCACAGAGAATCACTGGACAGTATCTGCTGAGAAAGGATTTCTTGATTTTGTTGACAGGTTGACTACATTTGCTGCTGGTGAGCAGCTTTTGTTTCGAGACTCCCAGGTCCTGGGAGGCTTTAAGCCCATCCGGTAGGCTTTGGGGTTTCAAATGTGAAGCAAGCACATGCCAGCTACTCTCAACATATTGCGCCTGCTAGGTGCAGAGTTGGACTAAACCCTGCAGGATCTGAAGTGACAAGCCGGCCTCCTTCAGCTGCCTAAGGTGCGCGGCGGTGAAGTTGCTGACGCCGATCGCCCGGACAAGGCCGCGCCTTGCAAGCAGAAAGACCCCAACAACAACTCCTGACCTCATCAGCTTTGCATTTGTCTCAACATCCCTATTCCTTCAGATTCATGGTCTTGGTTTTCTGGGATTGTTTCGAGCCTCAGGATCTTGCCCTGGCCTAGCAGAGATCCTTTTTTCACGATCCTTGTACCACTTTCCAGCAATTGTAAAACCTTAGGTACCCCAAAGCAGTACGACATCAGGAGGTGCAGGCAGGGTATGCGGTATGCAGCAAGGATTAACCGCTAATACATAAGATAATATGAAGTTTCCGGCGCTACTGGGTTGCCTATAAGAAAATGGCGTCAGGATGCAATTGTGGGAGGGGGTGTGAATACTTCTTGTACAAGCTGTGCCTAAGAATGCAGAGACTTTCCTGGGATCTTTGCAGGAACTGGCCTGCCAACATTGAATGATCACATTTGGACGCTCCTGCAGGGTTTCCACGGGGAATCTGGATCTTGCCTATCAGGCGGTTCAAGTCAAGCCCCAAATGTCCACGGCATGCATTTTCACCCTGCTACGATGTTAAGGGACGTAGCAGGAATGCCAGTAGAATCAAAATCATCAAGAATCTACCTGGCAATGACAACAACCATGATAATGAAGAAGAATAAGTGTATGATGATGATGATGATGACGATGATGGTGTTGATGATCATGAAGATGGCTTGCACACTTCCAGCACGAAGCCCTAAATCTAAGCCTCCTGAACCACAAACCTCAAACCCTCGACCCTGTACACGAAAGCCCTTGGCCTGTACAGGTCCTCCAGGGCTTTCCACGTGTCGATACGGGCACGTCGGTGCTCTGGAGAAGAGTGCGGCTTCTTCGGCAGGGCCTGAGATTTAGGGCTCGGGGATAGATTCTTTTGTTGGGGTATTCTCCTACTTGGGGCTCGTATGTATCAGGAAGTGTGTGGGAACGCATTTGTTGTATTCCTGCTTTAGAGGGGAATATGCTGTTTCTGACTACGCACAAAAATTTGCCGCACCACTACAGTGCGTGGGATTCTTGTCACACAGCTAATTGGGCTTAACTTCATGACAAAGCACAGCTAGTACGGATTCGAGGGCCAACAGTTTTTTTTTTTTTTTTTTAAATGGGCATTCAAGTATACAAATATTACCTACATTGGACACTAAAGTCGGTAACTCTTACCTGCATTAGGCTATTTGGATCGCTAGGAAAAGTTATACCCTAAACTCTTCTAGTGGTTTGAGGACCCAAGGTGGTGCAGGATGCGATAATCAATAATGTTGGACGATAGCATGGAGTATCCAAGGGATAGGAATCGGAATCAAAGGCTAAGCATTTGAGATCTGGGAGCTACAGCGATACCAAACCCTGAATCCTGAAGAAAGGTGACATTTAGGGCTAGGGTTTCCTGAAGAAAGGTGATACTTATCCTGCTGGCGGTTGGATTGGCCGACAGCTTCTTTCCAGTGGTAAGCTGTGTTTCACAAAGCTACTCTGGAGTGTGCTCGCATTCATTGAGTCAAGAACAATGAGCCTTCTGCCAAAACCGTCAACCCTATGTGTAGTTTCCATGTTACCTTCCATGATCCCAATCTAATATACCCCTAATATAACCCGAACATACCCAATAAAACCCCAAATACCCCTATATGATGGCCCGGCGATTGGTAGGAGTTCTAGGGCTGGAGTGGTAGTTTAGGCTTGCGGCTTTAGGGCTCACGAAGGTGTAATAAACACCATTCTATATGGGGGTTTTCCAAAATTAGGGGTACCATTATGGGAGTCCCCACAATAAGGATTATAGTATTTTGGGGTCTACATGGGGTCCCCCTATTTTATCATATATCCCAAGAAGCCTCCAGAACCACTAGCTGCGTGAACAATTTTGACTGTAGGTCTTGCAAGATCGGGGGAGCGCAAACTCAACTTCGCAAAAGCTGCACCTGTGACCCTATTTAGCTACCCTAAACCCTAAACTCTAAACAGCTGCAGACGTTATAGTTTGAACGAGCAATTTACCCACAGAGAGTAAAGCCTTGAAGCATTAGAACTCCAGAATCTAGACCCAAATTCCCCTTTAAGCTGGCAACCTGACCCAAACCTAAAGCGTTTAGGATTTATGGTTACATGGGTAGTTCTCAAAATATGGGGTACCCTTTTGGGGGTCCCCATAGTAAGGACTGAAACTACTACATGTTTCCACTCTATCCTTGGTACCCTCACCCTAAACCCTAAACCCTCAACCCTAAACCCTAAACCTAAACCCTAAACCCTAAACCCTGAGGCGTGACAGAAGACGACGTCCGTTGGGTGTTGTCGCCTGCAGGGACGGTGGATGCGGCCGGGGCTCCCGGAAGGTGTGCCTGGATGTCCATGGGCATCTATAATAGGCTTAGGGTTTAGGGGTTTAGGGTTTAGGGTTTAGGGATATATGCTATTCGCTTGGATGTCCGTCGTCACTTATAATAGGGTTTAGGGTTTAGGATTATGAGCTTGGATGTTCATGAGCAGCTATTAACTAGCTATACTGGCGAGGCAAATGGAAATCAAACGGAAGATAGTAGGGATCAGGGGTTTAGTTTAGCAATAACCTACTTATACATGTAGGTGTTAGTTGTGACCCAGCTATGAGGCTACTAAGTCGTGAAATATGAGTACAGATCGGAGCATTATCTAAGAACCCATGGGCTACCACTAGGCTTTCAGAGTTCAAGATGTTTAGGCTTCAGTGACTCCTAAACCCTAAGCCCCACACCCTGAGCCCTGAACCCTAAACGGGTAAGGGGATCAGGGCTTCAGGCTTTCGGGATGTTACGGATTCAGAGTTCATGGGTTTCAGGGCTGGAGCTTTTCATTGTCCCAACCACCCCCACGGGTTTCGACCTGAAATACCGCTGACAAATCCTAACAAAGCCTAACTACAGGAGGAACCCTGGGGGGTAGTATGGAGGGGGGTTGTTAGGTAATTCGGACTATGAGCACAATATAAACCCTTTAAACCTTATACCCCAAACCCTAAACCCTATATATCCTTATATACCCCTACATACCCCCCTAAACCCTAAACCCTAAATTTCAACCCCAAGGTCCCAGTATCCCATGGCAGGCCCCACCGCCCTTGTGCAGAGAGGCCGCCCTCTATCAAATAATGGAAAAGAACATGGAAACTACAGACATGATAGGGATTATAATATCCTGGGGTTCTATCGGGATTCTATAGGGTGTATATTGGGGTTATATAGTAAGAATGGAAGAGAAAACGGAAACTACTATCATCCTCTCTTCCAACAACCCCGCCCGTTAACAAAACGCATTCGCAATCATGAAATGGTAGTGTACTTTGAATCTTTGTTGTTAGGAGGGGTGAGGGGGGGGGGTATGGTTGAAAGTAAGGCAAGTCCGGGGCTGGGGGAGATTGGAATTCCTCTCGTCCTTCCTGCTGCCCTAAATTCCCACCCGGCCTGCTTGGCCTGTTCTTGCTCCTAAACCTGTAACCGTAACCGTTTAGGCTTCAGGGCCAGCTTCGGGCTTAGGGTTTAGGACATAGTGGGGATGTTGTACCCCCCCATAATCCCTGGAACTTCCATGATCCAATATGTTGTCTGTTGTTGTCTCAAGGTCCGCATTGTGCGGAACAAGATCACGCAGGCAGTTCGGATAGAGACAGGTGAGTAGATTTGTCCGTAGGGACGCTATGGTCCTCAATAGAGAGTAAGATCTACTCCCTTGCTCCAGAAGAAAACTGCCATTTTACTGTCCTGATTTTGGGGGGCTTTGGGGTTACCAAAATCTTCGCTTTAGATAAGGTGGGGTTGGGTTCTTTGACCTTCATATGAGCGGGTCGAAGCCTAGAACCCTAAACTCTAAACATAAATCAAAACCCTAAACTCACAACGCCAAACCCAGAACCATCAACCATCCACCCTAAACTCAGAACCCTGCGTCCTAATCCCAGAACCATAAACAACACAAACTTACAACGTACATATCAAGCTCAGGCCTCATCGGCCCTAGACCATAATTCCTAGCGCAGACCCTTGGGAGGATCGAGATGGTAGATCCCCCATAAGGATTCCTAGAAATTGCCCATACATGGGGATATATGGGGATAATATACCGAGATATAGGGATGTATGGGGGTTGCAGGGATATTCATAGGGAGATCTAGGGAGATAGGGGCAGTAGTAGTTTAGGGTACCATATTGGGAACTCTACTTCCTACATCCTCTCAAGGGCCCTAAACCCTAAGCCCTGCATTAGCAGTAGTCTAAACTCCGAGTATCTCCCTTAATGACCCCTATAATACTCACCTATATAATCCCCTACATAACCTCCCCGATAAGGAGTTTAGACTATAGCTCATACAACCCTAAAATGCCCCCCTAAACCCTAAGCCCTAAGCCCTAAACTCTAAACCCTAAACCCTAAACCCCAAACTCTAAACCCTCAACCCTAAACTCTAAACCCTAAACCCTAAACTCTAAACCCTAAACCTGCAAAAAAAACCCTAAACCCTAAGCCCTTAATGGGAAGCTGCAAGCTCCATCCTCAAGGCCCCATCTCAGCTTTCTGAGGCAGAAGTGTGGGCCCCTAACATGAGCCCTTGGCTTTTTTTCCGGATGGATTGTAGGGGTGCTCAGGTGTATGAATATATATATATATGTATGGAATGATGTGTATATATATATATATGTGTTTGTCTGTATGTCTGGTTGTATGCATGTAGGCACGTATACATGTATGCATGCAATGTCTGTATGTATGTATGTATGTATGTATGTATAGATATGCTGTTCTATGTTGATGGTGTATTTACAAGGGGTACAGGGTCCCCAGGATAAAGCGCCCTTGCCAGGCCTACATGCGGGGCTGTAATTCAGAAGCCTGAACAGTTGCCAATCTTGTCCCGCAACAATGTTCTATAACTATAGCATACTATATCTCGCTGCCCTATTACAGTCTTCTAGGCCTCTTAAACCCAGACACCTACATCCAAGACATTGAATC